TCCCTCAAATATACAGTTAACATATCCTCCACTACTCTTCCGTTTCTAGACATAAACCTATCCTTTAACCATCCCTGACTCTCTACTTCAGTCTATTATAAACCCACAGATTCAACAGCTATCTTCTGTACAGCTCATTTCACCCCAAACACACTAAAAAACACTCTCCCCTTTTCACATTTCCTTCAGCTACGACAGCTCTGCAGTGATGACATAAATTTCCAGAACCAAGCACTCAAAATCAACAGAAGATACCCCACATGTGTTATTGACAGGGCCCTCATCCAAGCCAAAAACAGCCCACAGACCATGAACTATACCAGGAACTCCTGGACTAACAACCATATTCCTTTGGTGCTTCCCTACCACTCTAACACACTCTCTATCCCCAGGACCATTAACAATAACTTTCCTATCCTACAGGATGATCCTTCCATTGGGGCCCTCTTTCCCGACCACCCCATCATCTCATATTGCCAACCACCTGATCTGCGTATTCTTCTTGTTCACAACTCCCTTGACCACCCTCATCAATCATCCACACAAGGCACTTTCCCTTCAACAGAGCTCGCTGTATCACCTGCAAGTACATATCTGACACTATACTCATTCAAGGCCCTCAGGAAAATTCCAGATCACTCAGATGACATCTTATACCTCTAGCAACCTTATTTACTTTATCTCTTGCAGTAAATGCCCAGCCATCTTCACTGGGGAAAGGAGGAAGGAAACTCTGAGACCGCTTCAGAGAATATGTTAGGGCTGTGAAGATTAATGATTTCTCCAAGCCCATAGTTTCACATTTCACCTCTGTAAGCCATGATCATACTGATCTCTCCATCTGCATTCTCAAAGTAGGGTTTCTTAACTCCTATAGCAGATATACATCAGAAACTAAAATTATCCTGAAACTTGGCTTACACCTCCCCCTTCTCTCAACAACAGACTTGTTTTCTTCATATTCTCTTTAATCATTGGTAGGTTTCATTTCACACCTCTCCTCACCTCTCTCGACCTCTTATTGGCCACTGATTGGCCACTGTCTCTCCTCTGCTCCCGCCTCCTCCTCTCTCCTGGCTTTTGTTTTCCCATGCTGTATTATCTTGCTGACTGCCCTGTTTCTTACACCTGAAGAAGGCTCCACAGCCCTAACATTGTGTTTTGTTTCTTCTCTTTTCAACATGGAATAAACCTATTACTTGTTACTTATTTATATAGTATACCCTCAGTTAATTGTAAGCTATCAATTTGGCATATGTATGAATGTTCTCATAAAACAGGCAATTTTATTGCTGATTGCCTTCTGTTAAACTTCACTTGTTCATTTGCAGTTTATGCATGCAATGCAGCTCCCTACTCAAACTTCCTTAACAACCATTATGTTTGTTACAAAGTACGGGGTGATACCTCCTGCTGTGTTTGTTATTTTCAATAGGCAGTTTTGCTTGAAGGATGGGGGTGTATTTACAGACGTCTTCATTGTTTGTTGTGCAGTCCCGTGCTGAAAGTTGTGTTTCTTTTCTTTTCAGCATTTCAGGAATTAACCGTCACTTGTTCCTATTGCACTCCATTAAAACAAAGTATGCAAGTCACAAGACATACTGTACTCCTCTATAACACTTCAATTTACAGAAAAATCTGCACTTAATCAAAAAACCATCACTTCTAATCAAATATCCAGATACACACACTCACATCGGAGCCAATTTCCACAGAAACAATTAACCTCCCAGTTTGTGTCTTTGGACTGTGCAGTAATCAGCTTCAGTATGTTATAATCAGTATGGTTTTAAAGCCACTAAAGTGCAATGTGTGTGAAATATATTTTTATAATCAAAATTTAAACTGCTTCCTGATTACATATTGTTGAAATCTGCATATTTGAAATTTGCACAAAATATAGATTTTCTCAATGCAGATGTAAACCTGAAAGATGCACATTGGGTTCACAATAAATATGCAGCTATGTAAGAAAAACAAAGCAATGGTCTCTCTGGGATTTGATAAAAGTGGTTTAAACAAACATGTTAAAATGTTTCCAAAATATCAACAAGTGATATTTTTAGCTGCCAAAATGTCTTTAGTTACACGATTCCATAATAAATTTCCCTATCAAGTGGTATTAAATCTGTATAAACTTTTTACAACAATAGAGCAAATGTTTTATTATGTATTCTTAGAAAAGGATAAAACATTATATCTTTTTATGAAGTATATAAACTTTATATAATTAGAACAAGTACATCAAAAGTTTACCAAAATAACCACCATGAGTTACCGAGTTAAAGACTTTAAACGTTAAAAAAAGATCCATAAAATGTTTATGAAGAAGAAGGATAGTGTTGTGTACTTTGTTTTTATATTAAGTTAGCACTACCATCTACTATATGTACATTAGGTATTTATTATGCCTTAAAGCCACTACAGTACAGTATGTGTGAAATATATTTTTCATAATCAAGTAGTATAGTTAAATTGTTTCCTGATTACTTGCAGAAATTTGCATTAAGACAAAATCTAGATTATCTCAATGTGGATGTAAACCTGAAAGAAGCACATTGCGTTCACAACAAACTTAACTATAATAATTTTACATATGTAATTAACTGAGTAATTTGTTTTGTAAAATAGCCCTACCTTCTATTTTAATTAATTTAATATTTAAAATACTGTAATACACAGTTTAAAATGAATAAAAGTCCAAACAGTACACAACTTACATTCTATTATTGGAAAAAGAGTGTCTTAAGGGGCTCAGCATTGATCAGGATTCGAAACCAGGCATTTTCTGGCAACAGCGTAATGCTTCCACACGCCACATTACGCACTCACATAATGCTGCGTGTGCTTTACATTTCACATTTGGTCTGTCAATGGATTCCAATCAAATTACAAGAACTGAATAACAAAAATGCATGAGAACACTGCTTGATAAACATTTTAATTGCTTTGTGTTTTTCTTACAGAAATAATGTCTGTCAGAGAATCTTTTAAAATATTTTTTTGCAGTTACAGTTTTTTACACCTAGCTTTCATTAACTTCTAGTGCCAGTTCTAAGTAACAAAATAGCCTTATAACACATAAAACAAAAATGGTCTAATTTTTTTGGAATGAATAAATTCAGACATTTAACATTTTTGAACATTTTAGAACAAAAGGTTATGGAACAGTTGATGATGGAATAATTCTTTGTCCTACTGCATTTGAAACCCAATGAACTACTTTCACATTTAAGCATGCCAAAAATGTTTTGTAATTTAGATTGGGATGAAGAAATCAACCGGCAAGTACAGAGGAAAACTGTTCTAGAAAATAAGACTAAAACCAATGGCTTACAGTTTGATTTAATTTTTTTTAATCCAAACTTGTGCCTCATTCTAACAAATTGTAAAATACAGACAGCTATCAAGACAAAGTGGAGGTACTAAAAAGAGGGAAGAAACTAAAATCCAATTAAATACATTTAACTCAGAGAAAGGAAATGTGGACAATAATTTATGGAGCAAAATAAATGTTCCAAAGAGATCTGCCTTATTTTATCGGTGCTTTACCCATTAAATGTTTCTTGGTATTTTTCTCAGGTTGAAGTAATATAATATAACATTTTGGCATAAAGATGCAGAAAAGTAACCCATAGGTTGATGCTAGAATTGCGAATATTTCCACAGCTACTGTGAACTTCCCAGGAGAGCTGATGTAAGCTGGGATAAAGGTGATCCAGACAGCACAGAATATGAGCATGCTGAATGTAATGAATTTGGCTTCATTGAAGTTATCAGGAAGCTTCCGAGCCAGGAAAGCGAGCACAAAGCACATGGCAGAGAGGAATCCTATATAACCTAACACAGCCCCGAATCCCACTGTTGAACCTAAATTACATTCTAAAATGTTTTTTTCTTTATAATATTTTGTATTGTTTTGAGGAAAAGGAGGTGATATTGCCAACCAAAAAGTGCAAATCAAGACCTGCACAAGTGTGAATCCAAGAACACTTAACCGCTGCTGTTTGGGGCCAAACCATTTCATAATGTTATTGCCTGGCAGTGTAGCCCTAAAGGCCATTAACACCACTATTGTTTTCCCCAGAACACAAGAGATGCACAGGACAAATGTGATCCCAAATGCTGTGTGGCGCAACATACAGGACCAGTCAGAGGGCTGGCCAATGAAAGTAAGTGAACAGAGGAAACACAGTGTCAACGAAAAGAGCAGAAGGAAACTTAGTTCAGAGTTATTGGCTCTTACAATGGGAGTAAATCTGTACTGGAAAAAAATAACACTAATTACCATGGTTAAGCAAGTTCCAAGCAATGCAAATGTGACTAAAAGTACCCCCATTAATTCTCTAAAAGACAAAAACTCAACACTTTTTAAGATACACTGATTTCGTTGTTCAGCTGGTCTGTACTCCAAAGGACATAAGGTACATCCCAATGAGTCTGAAAAGAGAAAAAAATGAAAATCTAAAAACAAATGCCATAAATGTGTAGCCAAACTATAAAGCATTGATATGGATCATGCAAAAGTCATTTAAATAAATCAATTAATAACATGATTTTAATTTCTACCATGATATAGATACTGTATAATGCAGATAGTGAATTCCAGTTCAAATTAGTTGTTTTATTAAAATGTACACAGCTCCCAGATATATTTCATTGCTTGAATGCCATTTTCAGCAGAAAGCAAAATTAGTAATAACGAATGTAGTACAAACTACAACAAACGTTCCTAACCACTAAGAAAACCATTGTAAACTTTATCACTCATCAGGCAGTGTTTTCATTCATGCGAGTAAAACACAGAATTACAAAGAAACAACACATATTATTAAATTATGTTTTTCACTAGCTACAAACTACACAACATTTTTGGTACAAGTATATACAGTTTCGGACAGTTCCATTCATTGTTTGAAAAACAAAAGAAAGTATATAATTCACTATGGCAAACACACAGTAAACGTGATCTACCTGTAGTGTTGCTGAACTCTCCCTCTGCACAGGGGATGCAGACAAAGCAGCAGACAGGCTTCCCTTTCTCAATGGCCTTACGAGTGCCTGGAAGGCAGCTCTCACTGCAGACCGACTTTGGTATCTGCAGTTTGGCAACCAGTGATGCAGAGTCAGAGAGTTCAAGACTTTTATTTTAAAAATGCCATGGATTAGTTAAACAAATACAATTAACACCTGAAACAGGCGATACTGAATAATCAGGTATAAATCTTACCTTATACTGATGACCTGCCCACACAGGACTAATATTATTCATTATAAATTGCTGTCCTTCTGGAAAAGAACCATCATAAAAACCAATAATTTTAAATGTTGTAATTCCCTCATTGTTCGGCTGCCAGTTTACTATTGCATATCGTGCTACTGGATCCCCATTGTCATCAAAAAATACTTTCTCTCCTTTCTGGGTTGTGTAGTTAACTCTCTTGAGGTAATGTTGTACCTGGAGGAAAATAAGTTGTTAACATAATTTTCTTAACTTTGCTTACTTTCATTCTATATTACCCCTTGGGAAGTGGGGATATGTATTTTCTATGTATATATATATTCTACTGTACATAGCCTTATAACTTGGTAAACAAAGAAGATGGAAGTTTTAAGAAATCCTTGTAATTTACTTATTCTTTAGTTTTAGAAAAATTTAGCACTAACACTATAGTGTTATAGTGTAGTATAGATAGATTTATTTAATTTTCTTTTAATTTCTTCATTGATAATTCATGATTTATACTGTACCACATTTGTGATATTTGAAAACTACACTCAGTTTAATATGATGTGACAAAAGGGTAATTAAGTCAGTGGAAGTTAAAAATGTCAGGTGGCTGAATTACATACTCAAACTTGAATTGATTTTGCTTTTAAATATTTGCATGATCAGAAAATCAATTACCTTACCTGCCAGCTTTCTATTCTGTGTTTGTTTGCACATGTTCTGTTATCAAAAGGTCCGTGTCCATTTTGACATGACATTAGATCATGAAGTGAATGAGCTATAGCATACACTGCTTTATACACATTGTTGGATATCCTCAGTTCAGACACATCAGTGTATTGGTTATGTATTTCTTTCAAAGTCTCTTTTCCTGTACATGGCTTAACACTCACGTTGCTATAAGAATTCAGTTTACAATTGAAAATATTTTCCCAAAATTCATTTAACCCAGTATTTCCAGGTGTGTCTGATGGATGAGTATTAAGAATAAATTCTTTCAGTCCTGGTATCTCTGCACTTGGAATTGCAAAGCCAATAGAGCCTCCCAGGATTGTATAACCTTCTTTTGATGCAAGATTGCTGTCTGTAATCCATGCCTCACTGCCCACCCACTGGAAGCCTGTGACATTCTGAAGTGTAAATTCTTTGACTAATAATTCCAATTCTATATAAGATATAAAAGCAACAATTACATTTGAGGTTGACTTTTTCACAATATCTACTACTTTAAGGAATTTCTCCCTTGGATCAGTTCTGTAAATTGCCTCTGAATATTCAATACAGATCCCCTCCTGCTGAGCAGCTTGTAGAAAGGTAGCCATCCCATTGTTGCCATAATCATTGTTAGTTCGAATGGCTCCGACCCAGGTCCATCCAAAATGCTTCACAAGCTTTGCCAGGGCTGTACTTTGGTAATAATCACTGGGAATTGTCCTGAAGAAATTAGGAAACTCCTTTCTGTTACTGAGGCAGGCACAGGTAGCAAAGTGACTGATCTACAGGAAAGGAGAAACAACATAAAATGCTGATGAAGAGGAAGAATGCATTTCTTTTACTTCATTAACTGATGAAAATACTGTTTTCTCACCACAGGTATGTTAAAGGGTCCAACAGTTGTTGCAAGTCCAATTGTCGGTGAAGATTCAGATAGTCCTATTATTGCGTGAACAGAGGGTGACTTGGTGCAGGAGCTCTTTAAATTAATTTCCTTTTGCTGCTCATTCATTAATGCCAATGCAGCTTTTATAGCCAAAGCTATGGTTCCACAATCATTATAAATCTTATAGCCCAGAGACACATTGGGAAGAATATAAGAACTGTTATTTATTTCTTCAATAGCAAATATTAATGTTTGAGCATACTGCAGTTCATCAAGGTTTAAACTGTTTGGAGAAATATTGACAAATCCTTAGATTTATTATTATTGTTGTACTGTACTTACAATAGCATTCTATTCACCAATAACAAAATTTGTAAAATATGCATTTGTCAGAATTAATTCAAAACAAAGTATTAATCTTACCTTGTACACATGAGTTTTCCTGAGGTGACCTTAAATGTTGGCTTTGTAAAAACAATTTGTTTATGGAATGAAAATATTGCCCCTATATTGATGTCCCCTTCTTTTGAAAACTGGGGCTGTTCTTGTGTTCCATATGGTTGACAATAAGGCTTCTCAGCCCCTGTGAAGAACAAAATCAATGATAACTTCACAAGCAGTAACATTACAGACTGTTTTTATTTTCTTTCCCATGTACAAAGCTGAGATAATTTACTTCCTGATACTTATACACTTTGCTCAAATCCCATGCGCTTAAATGAATGCACCAAGCATGAATTCCCAGAGGTAAGCTCATAGTTGAGTCTGCATTAGGAACGGAACAGAATTATGGTGCTACAGTATGTAATTGCTCAATGGAACTTCTGCTGTGTGTTTTATGCAAAGTTTAAAAATATTGCTATGAACTGCAAGTGAACTGATTTAATCCTTGTCATATGGCATAATCCGATTTACAGGTTACATCTATTTTCCTTCAGGTTTAAAGTTCTGACAGAAAATTTAGCATAGAAAGTTTTAAAATGTCATTCCTTCTTTTCCAAATAGTTTTAATTTGACTGAAAAGCAATATCTACATTAAAATACACAATTTGTGTGAGAAATCATGCAATTTAGGACTACATAATGATTTTTATTAATAAATCTGGTTGTTGATTATGACCTTATCACCCATTATCAGAAATATAACCAAGATGCACGCATAAGATGAATCGTTGTGAAAGGCGAGAGACTATACAACATATCAAACACATCTACTATAGATGTTTCTGACCATCTCCATAATGTACTTCTGCCCACCTGCTGGGTGTCAAGACAGGGGCTTCTCAGGGCTCCAGACTGAATCTACAGTTTAGCTTGCACCCTGCTGGTTATGAGCTTATACAACCAGCTGCCTCTTCTGAGTGCTGTCGTTCCTTCCCAAAGACCAGCTGTCCGCTGACAGAGATTTTCATGTTCTGAGAACATAATGTTTAATCCAGGCTTGATATGATGCCAAACCATGACAACTATGGGTCTGAGTCCACTTGAAACATTAAAGGGAACAGAATGTAAGCTCAGGCTGTTTGCTTCCCTGCCTGGTTACAATAATTACAGTAAATGATTCTCAAGGCCAGTAACCACTCACGCCCTTAACCAAAGCGATCTGTCCCACATCATTCAAGGCTCATTTTCCTAAGTTGCACATTGTGCCCTGAGCAAATATGACATCTCAGAGCTCCATCGCATAACAGAAATGGCTTTCAAATATATTATGAAAATTGTTTACCAATAATAGTTGGAAATTATTTTATTACTTCGACCCAACTTGCGTCTCCACTATTGCCTCTGTATTAAAATAATGGGATCCAAAACTCTTGTGCTCTCTTTTTTGATATACCAGCTCACTCACCTGGTTAACCTCTATTGGAAATGTTTTGTGATGCATCTTTTGACGACACACCAAGCTCATGGGCACCTTTCCAGCCACAAGGGGCAGTGTTGTGGATCAAAGTGAGAATACTCTGACCTGCTTGTGCCCACCCAGACCTGGGTGTATGTTGCTGCTTGAGAAATCCCCGTCATGTGTGGCGAATACTGTAACGCTTGCCTCACTGTGATGCAGCGGGGTGTGTTGCAATTGCTGTGGCCAGCGTCTCATTGTAGTCCTTCCTGCTCCTGGTTTCTAGTTTTCTAGGGCTCTGCCTGTGGCTGTGCTGTCCACAGGATTTAGGGCTCAAACAGGGGACCAGAGGATGGGACTCCACCTTGGGCCCGGACCTCAGCACACGACTTGGCCTGGTCCAGGTGGCACCTGAGAAGTCCATGCCAACCAGCTCCAGATGCTTTCAGCAAGGACTGCATTCCATGACAGCGCACACCTGGCCTAGGCTCTGGAGAAGACCCCTCCCCGAGGCTGTGCACTTTGAATCAGCCTGGCTCCTATGTCCTCCTGAGGGACTACCCCAATATGGAGTACGCTGCCTGGCCTCGGAGGTTGGACCCCTCTGCCCTCTGGACGAAACACAACTCCAGACCTACAATAGGTGGCTCTTTCCCGTCCTGCTCCAGCCTTTCCTGCACTTCCCTCCCCTGTGTTACAGTCCTTTAACCCACCTGCCTGCATCCCAGGAGACTCCAACTGCCTCCCGCTGCCCTTTCTCCGGGAGCCCAAATGCAGATTTTTGCAGACAGCATCAGCTCAGGTTGGCTTTGTGCCAGGCTCTCTAGTGCCTGAGGTGCAGTAAGTCACTCTCTGTGACCCCCAGACTCTTGGGCCTGAAACACCTTTAGCGTTCGCTCCTGTGACCTGGGGGCCGGTACTGGCTGTAACAGATACAAGTCATGTTTTAAATTGAGGGATCTTCCTGTTCTCCCTCTCTGTCAGAGACAGTTGGACGGTTATGGAGCTGTCCATTATCCTAAAGTCACATAGTCCTCTGGACTGAAATCCAGAGATTGTCCCACAATTATGGAGTGTAAGGTGGTACAGGACACACACTCACACGAAAGAACAATTTAGAGTTGAGCTAACTTTGTCATCTTGTCTGAACTGAGAGGTAACTGGAGTAGATAACTGTATTTCACTCTTAGAACAAAATTATAGCAAATGTGTTACCATACAGTATAGATAACACCTGTAATACAAGCATAAGATTTTAATTTAGACTGGTGTAATGTAGTGTGCTCTCTGAAGGCACCAGTTCTGTAGGGTTTGGGCATTTACTGGGACAATTATTAATTGTAGCAGTAAATCACAAAATTGATTCTTTTGATGGCTTTAGAATCCAACCATGC